TCAGCAGAGGATAATCACACTTATGCCTTTAGCTGTAGACAGTTTCACAACCATGGCTGATGAAGACATGAGCATTTACTTTTCGTTGACAAGCGCGATGATGGGGATTCGTGCTGCCTCAGATGCAGTACAACTCTCACCGCACTCAAGAATTTAGTTATTTGCAAACGACCTTTCGGAGTGCAAACATTTAGGCTACACTTATCTACAAGCTTAAAAGGTTCAATCTAATCTCAAGCTTGGCACTAAATGGAACATGACCCCCATCAGGACACAAACTACAGTATTAAAAAAACTGAAATGAGAAAATGTCTGGACAGTCTGGAAAAAATAGGAAATAACCTGGTAGGTTTCAATTAGGTTAGATTAGAAAATTTTATTAGTTGAAGCCCCAGAGGGAAAACTAGTGTACTGACCCATTAAGAGCAACAAATAATAAAAACACACAAGTCAGACAAGTCAGAGCAGACAACATATCAATGATGTACTATCACACTAGCAATAGACAAGATAACAATCCAACTAACAGATATTCCAAGAGGACATTAGTATAGTTCAGAAGCCCACCTAGCTGCTAAATTAAAAAAACTATTTTCATACAATCAGTCGATAAATAAAATCAACTGATATGTGATGCACCTAAGAACAGCACCAGTTTAACAGGCAATAAGGTACATCTTCAAAAAAGAAATAATTATGGAAAAAACTGGCAACTGTCACGTCATTCTGAAATTTCACAGCTTTGCAAAAAATACCTTCTAAATCCTTCTGTGGAGCATCCTAGCATCCAGGTAAGGATGACAGGATGCAAGACTTTTTAGATGATAAAAATACTAAATGAGTTGTCCTTCTAACTGAAGTGTGGCCTGAAACTCTCTTTCTGGTTCTTTCCTTCAACATTTACTCTAATAACCAGGAGCCAAACCAGTTATGGAAACAGCTTCTTTAAGAAACATGTTAAACCTGTTCCCATCTTTGGCACTAATGCAGTTTCCCCAAACTACAACAACATACACTAAAACAAGTCACATGGATATAAACCATAAACTTTGCATTAAGCCCAGAAACTGCAGCAGAAAAACACCCATCAGATAAAGTTACCCCCCCCCCCCCCCCCTACTCC